CGAGCTCATTTGGGTTTTCTTGGAAACGGATTTTATTTAGAGTGTGGCGCATATTCAAACTACTCGTAACTATCTACCTCCATTTCAATGTGAAGATTACATGTTTCACTTTGTTATCGAGTAATTTCTTTCTTGACTTGATTTATATCTGAACTGATCTATTGCATTGATCTTTGATTTAGATTAAGCTTTATTAAGCCATCTGATGAGACACTTGAACAAGGTCGAAACCGGTCATGGCAGTTGTTCACACCCACACCCACCCTAAAATGTGATGAACAACTGCCCATCCTTGTTTTTCTGGTCTGCTGACGTCAGTAAACTTTATCGCGACACGCGGCCTCTCACAAAATAGTCACTAGGCGATGCGCTTCAGCCATCCTTGGTGATGTGTACTGAACAGATATTCTTTCGTCAGATCGGTAACAAATCCTCCCTGGCCCTCCTTTTTCAGAAACCAATTGACACCTTCCTGTGGCCCGTTACAAGGTCCATCGAACTTCGACGCAGTACAATACACACTATGCCATTTGCTCGATAATCGCGTGTCTTGAACGAGTATATAGTTTCCGATCTTCGCTGCAAATTGTTGATAGTAAACCAACTCGTCGTAAACAGCCTGAGCGAAATGATCGCCGTCGAGTGAAATGAACACATTCGCTGGTTTCATCTCCGCGAACGTGTGGTTGACGATCAGTTTAGCGATGTCGGAAACACTCGCATGTGGAATGAAAGTGATGTACGCAGCGAGCAGAGGATATCGATCGATGCACGCTTTGGCCTTAGATTCGATATCCATGGTGATGATTCTGAAAGGACGAATGGTTTTGTCGGTTGAATTGTAGCGGTACTGATACATGATTGAGGCAAAGAAAAGAGCAGCACCGCCTCGATAGGTACCCGTTTCGATCATGAGATCGACGTCTTGATTGTGAAGTATCTCGGCAATGGTGATGGCATCGTTCGGATTTTGTAGGAAGGGAACACCGAGAAAGGACTTCTTTATCCTGAAAAGAGAATCAAATCAAAAACGCTTTATGACTGAGATAAGACCTTCTACCAAGGGGGAAAAAGCTGATTTAAATCAGTCAAAAATCAAATTTTAATCAATTTAAGTCAGATTAATCACTTTTAATCAAATTAATCACTTCTAATCAGTTAAATCACTCTTAAATCACGTTAAATCATATAAAAAAATTAGCTTAAATCATAAAAACTGATTTTTTTGTATGATTTAAGGTGATTTAAAATGATTAATTTGATTTAAAGTGATTAAAGGTGATTAGAGGTGATTAAAGTGATTAATTTGATCAAAATTCGATTTTTGACTGATTTAAATCATCTGAAAATCAATTTTAAGTCAAAAAAATCAGCTTAACTCAATTTAAATCACCTTAAATCATTTTAAATCACTGAAGTCACATTTAATCATTTTTAATCACTAAATCAAATTTTGCTTTTTCCCCCTTGCCTTCTACGAAAGATAAGTGTAATTCTGGCGGTTGTGCTGTCAGAGATACCTATCACTCGCCGGATTCTCTTAGCATGTTACTCACCATTCTCTGTTCAGCTCGTAATACCGGTAGAATTCGGCGTAGAATTGCGCTGCAGTGCCATTGTCGATCACGAACTTTGTCGGCGAAAGTGCATCGGTTTGAGTTTTTCTTGGTATTATCGAAATCATCGACATCAATGTCTGCCAGCGCGGTAGCAACCAGAGAGCAAACACCAGACCAAGAGAGAAACCGAGCAGGACATGCAAAAACGATTTCGTGAGCATCGAGGATGTTTTCACCTAAATGAGATCATGCTGCTATTCAATTTACGGAAGTAGTGCGATGCTCTTAAGAATAACTGCAAATGAGAAGATCTAGCGGCTTGCGCTGTGCAGAGCAGGGCTGCCAACTGTTGAGGCCTCAAATGGGGTACAATTTTTTTCCGAATGAGGTACACTCGTGGGGTACAATCTTTTTTTTAAATAAAAAATCTGACGTCAGAAAGGGTGTGGGTGTGGGTGTGTGGGTATGGGTGTGAGTGTGGGTGTGGGTGTGGGTGGGTGAGGGTGTGGGTGTGGGTGGGTGGGTGTGGGTGTGGGCGTGGGTGTGGGTGTGGGTGTGGGTGTGGGTGTGGGTGGGTGTGGGTGTGGTGTGGGTGTGGGTGTGGGTGTTCGTGTGGGTGCGTGTGCGGGTGTTGATAAGTAATCTGTACTTATCAACACCTTCACCCTCACCCACACCCACACCCTCAATATATATTCATGTTTATTTGTTTGTTCAATTAGATATATATGTCTATATTTCCTGTCTTGATATGTAAAACAAGAATTACATTTAAATTTGAATAAATTAGTTCGATGCTCAACACTTATTTTGTGCAGTATCATAACTAAATTACACTGATGTCGCTCTTCGAGTATAAATTGTTTGAAAATCAGAAACAGTGTATAACATTTTCCATCCGTCAATGTCATTCCTTTCTCTCTTTCCGTTCTCCCGGTCTAAGAAAACAAGTGTACAGTTTTAACTGACTATCATACATATTGTTTTTCGTTTCGTCTAAGTTGTGTGTATCACAAATGATTTTTCTTTTTCTTTATTTTCTTGTTCTCACTCTTTTCTCTGTTTCGCTATGCATATACAGAAGAAAAACAATTGCTGTTTCAATAAAAGTTAGTGCAAAATAATAACTGTAGAAAGGTAAACTATTATCTTACCATGCGAGGCGTGTTCTAAATTTTGTTTGATGCGTAATTCGTTTAATTCTGTTTGTAAAAATATCTCAGTTTGAATTAAATAAAGACCTTGAAATTTGTGCGTAGTGTAATGGTCGCCCCAATTCATGAGATAAGAGGCAACTTGAACTCCAGAGAGCTCTTGTTGAGAAGCAAGTGTATTGTAACAACGCAAAACCAGTTTGCGTGATCTTTCTATAGCACTTTCCGTCTCTGTTTGATCTGTTACATTTTTGAATGATGTAATACTTTTTTGAATAAGAGAGAATGTATCATGAAAAGATAGACTCGTTTTTGTAATATAATCAGTGATATAATATACAAGAGCCTTAGTATCACTGCCAGTCCAAATAAATTTAATATCCATGTTGGAACGACATGCTGATATAATATATTCATTAAAATTATTAATCCATGGATGTGATCGTCGCATAGAAATATGACCAGTCTCTGGATCAATTGTCGATACTGATATCAATTTGCGTGGCATAATCAATCGACAAATTTTCTTCGCCATAGCTTTACAATATTTATAACACGTATCACTATGTCTGTGAACATTACCTGATTCAACAAGTTATGTCACATCAGCACAAAATCGTGACCAAAAGTTAGGTAAAGATGGATTTGGAGTAGACAAACATGCCGGAGGTAGCCTTGATTGAATATCTAAAACATCCATACCTAGAATGATAATTATCATTTTGTGGGTCATTAAAGATTTATTAAATCATACTAGATATTGATTGATCGTGTATTAGTGTTTGTAATAATTTAGTGCGTTGTGGAGAAGCATAAGGAATTGATGGAGAAGATTGTTCTTTCATCGGCGTCAACCGAATATCATATTCATTTGTATTTTCTTCTAAACCTGCTAAATCAATAGTACGTAAAGCTGCATAAATATTATCACTTGATCATCGTGCTGGAGTATTGAATGATCTTGGTGCTGCAATATAGAAGAAGAATGCGATATTGAAATTAAAGAAATCTCTTATACCATCTAAATTCTCGAAGACACATTTATCTTTGAATTCATCTAGATCTTCTTTGATGATATCTTCTAAATATGCTATCAAATTTTCACGAAAACTTGGATCTTGAAGTTTGTTCTTCATATCAGCAGGCTTCAAGTCATGATTAAGCCAAATAAGGAGATGCAAATGAAGTGAACCTCGTCCTTGACTTTCAACAGTACCAAAATATGCTTTCACAGAACCGACTACACCACCAAGAATCATTGTATCTAAGATATTAGAAATCAATATATGGAAAAATTTGGCAGTAGCAACAGGATGAGAAGCGATAATTTCGGCACGCTTGTATGCGTCCATAAGTTGTTTTGCTTGAACATTGTCCAAATCAAGTTTCACACCTGCAGAATATAATGCTACGGGACTGTGAATATCAGCTGGATTGAGGGTGAGAAATATATTGGGCAGACTTTGATTAAAAATCATTGCATGAAGATGTGTACGTAAGGATGTACGTGAATATGCTGAACCCATAACTCGACCACCAATTGTTTTAATATGATTTACCAGTTTACCTAAAGCCTTGTTAGATCCTTTATTGTATGTTCTTGTAGAAATATTTTTAAGAGTTGCCTCAATATCACTAGTGTTCAATGAATGAATTTCTTGAGCGGAAGATCGAAAATAAGGTTTTGTTGCTATAAGTTGAGCATGGAAACATGCATCACGTCTTTGCAATAAATTAAAAACTACAAATATAAAACTATGATTTTTTTCGAAACGTCGATCATTGTAGGATAAAAGATAACGTATATGTTCTCGTAAGTTTATGGTGAGTGGGCGTGTTTGATCTTCAGGTGCTCCAAGTCCATAACAGAATAGCGTTGGATAGAGACCTGCTAATAGTTTAGGATTAAAATATTCATTGACAGGTTTGGAAGAATGAGGAATCAAGTAAATATTTTCAACATTCATTTCATCATTTGTTCCACCGTTTTTGATTTTCTTTAGAAGATAATCATTTATTTCTTCGGAAGATATTGATGAACCATTCACGTCGAGGACAGCTCTATTAAGTAAAACAAAGTTCTTAAAAGGTCTTATTTTCTAGCTGTTCCTACCTGTTATTAATAGGAATGACATCTGAGATATTCAATTCTGTTGAGTTAGATAATGCATCAGGAATATATCCAGCTCTTTCCGATGGCACTTCTTTATCATTTAATATCTGTTCCATTGTTGTCATTATGGGTTCTGGTATATCATCTTCAGGTAGTTGTGCGATATTATCTAGATTTATATCGATATTCTTATAAAGTATATTGTATTTTTTCAACCAACGCAGTGCTTCAACAATATTTTTCTTTCGCACTGTAAGAACTCTTTTGAGTTGAAGACGCTCTGGAGGACGGGCTTCAATAAAAATCACTTTGAGAGTGTCACAGAGATCGACCATTCTAAGTGGTAGACTATTAACAATGTTTGGTGTATTTTGATGAAATGTAATACAATTGCCTTTTAATGCACCTTGAGCAGTCGCCATTGAATGAAAAGGTGACTGCAGTTTTATTATACAACTATTGTGACGGTGTAATGATATCAATTTTTCTTCTGGGATAGTCAGTCCTTGTAGCTCAACAGGAATATCATGTAACCACATGTTGTTTGCTACTGAAAATTTAGAAATCTGTTCTTTCGATAAACCATAACTGCATTTTTGACAAAGTGTACACATATTTACATTATTTTCTTGATACATCCCATTGACATAGAGAATAATATCATTTGCGTAATAGAAATAAGACGACTTTGTAGTTGAAGAACCTAAAATAAAATCAGGATTGCATATATAATCTTGAATGTTTTTTGTTATCCGTATTAAATTACCGTTAGAGTTTTTCGAAGTAGATGATTGAGTATTGATGACTACATTTTTAAGTTCGTCAGAAATTTTGAGTAGATGTATATTAGGAATTTCTGACAGTGGCATTTTTGTTGATTCCTGTTCTGGACTACGAATAATGCAGACCGCACAAGTCACTTCATCCAATACGGACATAGACATCTGAGAAAGAAATTGTTGCAAACATTCTTTTTTCAAGTCAGTAGGAATTGGCGCTGGCCAAGTTGAATGAACTTGACTTTTTTTTTCTTTGTCATATTGATGTTGTGCTGTTGAATAATGATGTTGTCAGCTGTCCGTTTTTCTAGTCTTTTTTCGGTTCTATTGGCCTGACTTCGATCCCTTTGATAATTGATCCTTAACTGATATTGATCATCTGTTTCATTTCGTCGTCTGGATCGAGTTCGTTCTTTCTTTTGCTCGAGTCGACTTTGTCGTTGCTCTTCAGCTTGACTTTCTCGTCTAGATCGAGCTCGTTCTCTGTCTTTCGCAAGTCGATTTTGGCGTTGTTCCTCCGTCTGATTAACTCGTCTCAGACGCGCTCGTTCTCTCAAAAGAGAAAGTCAGTTTTCATGTTCTTCTTCTGTGTCCGCCTGAGCCTGCTCGATTGCATTTGGGCTGGTTGGTTTAGTGCGTGCACTTTCAATATTGATATCGCTACGTACACGTCTATTGGAAGAACATTCAAATTCAGGCATGCGTATTTGAGCGACTGCATTGTTCTTAAATGTTTTCTTTTCAGGAGTCTTAAAGAAAATAGTTTTGAAAATAAAAATTGTTAAAACATTTATTTAAGGTGTAATCGCTTACTTTGACATTAGATAATAATAATTGATTGTTATGATCAAAACCATATTGCTGATTTGGTGCTAAGAGAGGCACAAAATGATTCGGACTCCATAGATTGTTATTGGCCGCTCGCACGTGCATTTCTTTCCAGACATTCGACCACAAAATTGCAACTTCATAATTAGCAACGATCGGTGGAATAGGTGTAAATATACTGTTCATCACAGCCATGCCAGCTGTAAAATCAATTTCCGGATAGACACTTCGTATATTGCATTTGAGTACACTACATAAAGCACAAATTTCGTACAACCCCGAATATGTATGATTTTTGCATATAGCTTTAATAGCTATATCAATAAGCCCGGCACGATGCATATACATATTGGAATAAAACGCTTCATTTATTACGAGTTCAATAATCGTGCGTACTAAAAAGTTGTCAAAATTTTCCTACTATCAAAACACACATGTCAAAAACCTCTACAAACCTCGTAATTCACTTGCTGTTAGTCTTGAGTCATTCATCAAAAGAATTACAGAAAGATATAAACCATTTCCATCAGCATCAACATCGACTGGAATAAGATGCTGTGCGTCCGCCGATGCTTTTTCAAGATATTCCTTTGCAATCAAATCCACCCCGTGGATTCTATCATCAAACACTCCATAAGGACGAAACTCCAATGGTGACATAATCGATTCCATCTAAACAGTACAAAATACATTTGATACCATTCGAATATGTACGTACTCGTCGAATTCGTTGTACAGCATTAACAATCTCATCGTGATAAACGATACTTTCAGAACACCGTTCCAGAACTTGAAGTAAACGTCCGAACTTCTGCGAACGAGTCATTCGATCACAATCAGGACAAGAATAATTCATACACTGTGTAGAACAAAAAATACATTCGACAGTCATAATTGATAATACGACTAAATTCCAATTATGAATAAATCTGAAATGAGACATCAACAAAAAATCTTTTATAAAATGTACCAAAAGTCTTATTTGTTTCTCTTTTGAACGTTTCTATTGATAATATCCTTTACTTTTCACTTTAAGTCCACGCAACAAATTCGATTGTCAATCCAAATCCATAGTTTTCACCGCGTTGGAAGATCTCTCGAATAGGGAAATAGTCTCGTCTCTAAATATTATCTCACATATATGCATACATACGCACAATTTGTAATCAGGGAGATATTTATTTTTCTACCAAGATTTTTTATCTTCTATAATATCTTGGCAATTCGATTTCAATTTCTGATAGAAGAATCTACTCCAAATTTGAATATCTCAGTTGAATCACGATAAAACACTCACAATAGAGAGAAACTCTCTCTTCTTCAATATACTGTCACATACATGTATGCACACATGCAACGCGTCATGCCAGAATTATTCTTTTTTCGATTAGATTTTTTATTTTCTATAATATCCTCCCACAATTCCAATTGATACTCTGATAAATGATTTAACTTTGAATTTAGATATCTAAGTTTCATGATGATTAAGCATTTGTAATAAACAGAAATGTTCTCATCTATTTATATGATGTCGTATGCATGTACACATATATACAATACGCAATGAGCAACATATTTTTCGTCTCTTAAATTTTCTATTATTGTCATTGCAGTCATTATCGTCATCTTCTTACTTCATTTCTTATATATTGCAATATTATTTTATTTCCCTAGATCATCATATATGTTCCATCTATAAACATTGATTAATAAATCACATATCTAGACATGTTTTTTTCTTCTTTATAAACACCATTTCTCTATTATTTATGATCATCAACAAACGACAATAATAAAACACATGCTGATTCGATAGACTTCAGTTCTATAAACGATATTTGCATTTTACATTAGATTTCATTCTATTTATATTCGAAAGCGAAGGTACAGGCAAAACGAATTGTTAAATGATAATATATCTTATTATAAATACCAATATACATATACACATATATGTACTATATCTATATAAATGAAAGAGACTGCAGCAATACAAAATGAAAGAATATTTTTATTTAAAGTTATTTCATATTTTTCTTTTTCTATTTCTATGCATTATCATCATTCATTTTAACTTGAATCATATGAAGAAATTCTAAGCAAAACACATATGAGAAACAAACGAGAAGTACTATAATATATATAAAATTCTTTTTTTTTATTCAAGAAAAACATAACTATGCATTGAAAGAGTTTACGTCGATGTTTTATTTAAAATATATGTAACTTAATATAAACATCTATTTCCTTTATATTTAACTTTATCAAATTCTTATACATGACATATGGAATTCAAAATTTATTTCAAGACAAATAACAAACACATATACATATATATATATATTATATAGAACAATAAAAATATATCATATTATGAAATAAAAAAAATATATATATATGTATATATATGTGCAACATAAGATAATCATTCTTATCATTTTCCATTGCTTCACAAAATTTTACATGATTATATTTTTATTATAAGAAAAGATAGACAAAATTTATAATTAATATAAAATAAAATCATCATGAATATCTTGTTTGATAGTTGAAATAAATTATAAATTGTATTCATATAAATATATGTGTATATTCAAATAGATATAATATATGAACTTATTTTTTTGTGTTTTAGAAATCAGTTAATTCAATATATATATATGAAGATTATATATAGAAGTATATTTATCATTGTCTTTTGTAATTATCTGATTGAGTTTAACAAAACAAAATCGAGTTAAGAAATACAATAACATTAGATATTTATTTTATATGTGTTGTATGGTTCAATTATGAAATGATAAATATAAAAAAAACAATTGTATTTCATCATATGACATCTATAAAGATAGAAATAAATGATTCGACATAGAGTTATTTATTTAAAATTAAAATGACGAATAAAATAAACTAGTAAAATAGAAAGAAAAAGATTGTAATGATGACTGATATATATATATATATATAGATGGACGTGAAAAGTTACTAGGATACCCCTAATATATTTTTTTTATATAGTTATGACAGATCATGATAAAATTGTAGTTTTTTATAGGTGATTCTGTCATTATTGCTCTACCAATTGATCTATTTTATTTATTATTAATAGAACCACTTAAATTCTTAGGTGTATCACCATCATACCATTGTTGAGCATGAATGTTGGAAATGAAACTATTTTCTAATCAATTCCACTATTGATCAATCGTAGAAATCTAATCATCGAATATCATATTATATGAAAAGGAATAATAAATAATTTTTACTTTCGTATAATTATTATTAATTCGCTTTGTAGTTCAAAAATACTTTTGTAAATAGTTTACTTAAAAAAAAGCGTTTGAATTTGTATAAGTAGTAAGCTATATTAATATTAGAAAATATAAATAGAACACAATTTCTCGAATAATTGTCCACATATATATTTCTTTTAAACGTTGATCACGAGCTTAAGCTGGTTCATCTTCATTTAAACGATCATTACAATTCTGTCAACAATAAGTAAATGGCGATTCACTTGAATGTATATTCTTCATTATAATTTAAATCAAAATCATCATTATCATCCAAATATTCAACTACTTCGTTATCCATGTCTGATTTTCGAAGAACGAAAGCAAAGAAAATTGCTAATGCAACCACCTATAAAATATACATGTATACATTTTAAATCATTTCATTATTAAAACAAACTAATTACTTTTGATCGGTGAATTAAAAGTATTGATTAAGTAAAACCACTTATAAGTGATATTAACCATTTTTGTGTTTTCAAATCACCATATTGAATACCACGTACAATTATAAAAGATGATGATATCAGAACTAATATAAATGATAAACTATAAGCAAAAAATAAATACCACGAAGGAAATATGAATTGTGATCGTTTCGTTTAATTTGATTTTATACTAAAAAAAATAAATAAATATAAAAAATGAAAAGATGTTAACTAACGATTGTCTTGGTTGTTGTTTGTGTGATTGTCGAATTAATATGTGTCGAGAGAATTGAACAAGTAATAAGCTTAGGACAACTGGGAGAATTTCAATAATTGTATCAATACTAATCTAGTTTTATTAAAATAAATTTTATTTAACTAACTGTAAAAATAGAAAGAAAATGAAATAAAACCTATTGAGCACTGATCTGTAATAGACCAAATTATGAACTTCCACTTGTTTCTTTTGCTTGATCATAATAAAGAACATTTAAAAGCATTGCAGTAAAAAGCAATACAAAAAAACAAGTACATCGTTGAACACGTGTAAATTTATTTGATGATGGATGAGAGAATATTTTATTCGATCTATCATCTATATATAAACAAATCATAGTGGTGCTCATATGAGCCACTCGTGTTCGCTATACTGCGAATCATATTCTAAGTCAAGCCTAGATTCATATATACTTACAAATCAAAGTATACAATTGATGTACAAAGATTTAGAAAAAAAAGCAAATTTTTTTTAAAATTTATAATAATAATCGAATTATACTTGCCGATGAAAAAATAAGAAGAGTTTCTTATCATTAATAGGCTAATAGTGTGATATTTATGAAGAAATTAACAATAACATGTAACGATGAAACAAAATGATTCAATTGCCGAAATGTTCACCTTGTTTATAGGGTGATAATGTTTTTTTTCTCTATCCTCTTCATTGACCTTGTAGCCGAAAATAGTTCTTTTTCTAATGTATTTTTATTATAGTGAAAGAGGCTTGAGTTATATTCTTTACAAAAATAAAAAATGAGTCACGTTCTTCAAGATATAACCATCTTATATTTAGTTTCGTGTGTTCTTCAATATCAGACTGGTCACGAACAATTTAGATCCATGATATAAATCTGTTTACATTAAAATCTGTTTCAAGGTTGTTCATGTATTTTTATATATGTTCTATGATTATGATGAAAAATGATCATGAAGTACATGAGATAATATTCAAAGCTTTTTTTTCGCTATTACGTAGTTTTATTTCATTAAAACAATCAGTAATTAACTGCTAAATATTCAATACTCGTTTAAATGAATCAACAAATTTATAAAATAGATTAAATTATGTATTTCAAATTTCAATAATTTCCTATTAAGATCAAGTAAATCTCTCCTGATTTATTTAACAAATTAAAATACAATATGTTGTATTTCTACATTAACTATAATCATATCTGTAATTTTATTACACGAATATTCTTTAGTTTATGTTTTACATATAACTAAATATAACTGAACTGTTTTAAACAAACCAAACTTGTATATTTTCATTGATCTATTATTGTCCCAAAAAATACTTATATTAATTATCTATTCTATTCAGAATTCTCTGAAAATTATATAATCAACACAACAAAATAAAAACTCATGTAGTTTTTTTAGAAAAATACATTTTACCAATGTTTTATCAAAATAGAGAGAATAAACGATTAAAAGATTTTTATTATTTTTACATACGAACTTCCTTAAATTTGTATTTTAATTTTAGATAGACAAAGATATAGGTTATTACTGATTTTACACTTATATTATTACTTTTTTTCTAATGTCATTTCAAGGTAAAATAGTGGTGTCACTTTAAATTTGCTTTAAAAGTTGAGGGTAAGAGTGTGGGTTTGGGTGTGGGTGTTGGGGTAGGTGCGCGTGTAAACGGGTGCAGGTGTGGGTGTGGGTGTTGCGGTAGGTGCGCGAGTGAGCTCTTGGGTGTGGATTTCGGTGCGTGAGCGTGGGTGTAGATCTAGGTGTGGGTGTAGGTTTAGATGGGTCCCAGTGTAGGGTTGCCTACGGCGCGGTCCCTTTGGATAT